AAAGGCTGGTTCATTTTTAAGGATGGCAATTTATGTCAGGGGAACCAGCAAGTGAATTCTGTGATTTGCTCTCTTCTTCTTATACTTAGGTAAAGGCGCTAGGGACTCTCCCGAGGGAGGGGAAATTACCAGTTAGGAGGATGCCACAAACACCAGAAGTTGTCCACTTCTTCACTGGAGTGAGGAAATGAAAGACTTCACAGGTTTTATTACCCACCCTGCTGGAGTGTGGGGGTGAGGGGTCAACCTCCACTAATTGCATGGTTCAAAACAGGAAAAGGGCAAGACTGGCTGCCCTTCAGATAAGATAGAGATGGTGACAGACTTTTAGCAATAGGGTCAAAGCTAAAAACTATATTACCGGTAAGTACCGGTAAGCAATTATCAGCAATATTCCCATTTTCTTATTAACTAATAAGCACAGCCTAAAAACGTAACCAAACACAAAGATTTCACCTTTTTGCTATTTGTTGGTAGATGGTACAGAACAGACACTGGGGCTGAACTCAGTTTACTTTTAACTAGTGGGTTTATTTAAAGCCAGCCATTTGTGAACACTTCATAATGCTTTAAAACAATGAAACATAATGAATGAGAAAAGTTGGCATTAAGTGAAATCTACAAGACACATGTTTAATTTGCTCCCAGTAAAAGCTAGCCCCTGGTTCTTTTCCTTTGTTCCCCAAACGGGCCACTTGGAAGTAGAATCCTCGCCCACCATTAGGGATCTTCCTGTCTGGCCAAAACACTCCCCACTTCCCACCACTCTCCTTTCAGATCCAAAACACTAACAAAATGCAACACGATTTGCCAATCACACTCAGATTATTCACCACCACCCCTCCAGTGTTTCCCAGCCTTTCTTCCAAGTCTGTCGGTTAAAGTCCTGTCCATTCTCAGATGCCCTCCAAGGTCCACGGTCTCATCTAGGGAGTTTTCTCGGTTGATTACTGTTAAAACCTCTCACTGGGTGATCAGTGTCCTTCCACAGCTTATTAGACTGTTTACCGTGAAAAGTTTGTCTGGGCCAACCCCACATTCCCAACTACCATAAACCCAAATGCTTTGCAAAATTCCAGTGACACTTATTCTTTGATGTCCCCAAATGAATGGCAAACTCACTCTAGACCTACAAACGGAGATGCTTTAATTGCATCCTTTGTAGGTGAAACAGTTACTACCTAATTCAGTGTGCAGGACAGAACTGCTCCATCCTATTAACCAAGACGGTGACCTTTGGGGAGCTGATGATGAGGCCCATCTCCCCAACCTTTCAGTCAGCAGTGGTCCAGGGCTGTGTATGCCACCCGGGGACCCCTTACCCCACACACTAGTCAAAGCAAACTAAAACACACACACAGGACCGTGAGGTTGACTTTCCAATCTACAAGAATAAGCCCCCCTTTCAACGGCATGGCACCATCTGTGAACAATGCCTTTAAATGCCAAATCACCCAGCAGGCTGAAAGAAGCGCTCCCTCTATCCAGATTTCTGAGGGGTTTTTCTGATTAAAATCCTCGAAGGACGGACGGA